GGATGATACAGCTTGGCACCAGTGGCGTCGCAGGAGTTGTCGGAATGTTTCATTGTACCAATGTTATGTGCCTACGGGACTCCATCTCCGGGTGTGAATTCAGAGTTGTCCTTCTCTTAGATGAGTTACCATCCAAGGTTAACGAGTCCCGGGGTGCTGGTGATGTTTTTGCTTGACAGGGCTTTGGCAACTTGAGATTCGCTTAGTTTAGACCACTCAGCCACCCAGCAACTAAACTATTGCACTAACTATAGTCTAAATATTCAGCGAGACCAAAATAAAAAGCAGTAGTACATAATCTCCCACCCACACAGAATGATATAGTTCCGGACCAATTACAGACTTTACACAATAGCTGTGCATCTTTCTTTTACTTCCTCTTAAAAGAACACATTTTGCAACACCCCCTTTAAAACACACACATTAACATAATCAACACACACATATTTACCCATATTTTGTAACTCAACCCTGAAAAGCAATCACCATTTCAGTCTCTTGTGTTTCCATCTCATAAGATGTATTGATCCAAAGGTCAAACATTTTATCCTCACTCAAATTCAAATGCACATATTCACCTGACACTCAACTTGTAATAAATCTAATATTTTAAACTCATTTTAATGGTTACAATCACAATTAGTGCTGAGTAGGTGATTGGGTGTCCATGTTTATGTATAGAGAATGCTTTTGTTTAGGTTTAATATACCTTTAAGAATATGGTCTTTGTATGTAATTTTTAAACATTAACATTATTCATTTATAACAACTTTTGCCTTGTTTCTTTAATAATAACATTTCAAATAAATAATAAAATTCTAGGGAAACCAAATAACACATTATTTATGTAAGAAAAAAAACAACTTATAACTAGCAAAACTTAAAAAATTAATTTTTCAAAATATAAAATATAATAAGTGTTCTTTCTAGTGAAATATGTATGTGTGAATTTATTTTTAATGAAAAGATTTGTAAACTAGTAGGGATCAATGCAAGTAAAAATATATTATGCAGGTGTAAGTTAATTAAGAATAATAGATAAGCACAAATTACAAGAAAAGAAAGCAAAAAAAAACTAAAGATATTTTTACATTTGCCATGTTGTTTTATTTCATTTAATGAAGATTTTGAACTCACCTGCTGTTGTTATTTTTATCATCAATCATATTTTTAAATCATGTCATTATCTTTTAACACCTATGCTCACCTGATGTTGTTATTTTTATCATCAATTATATTTTTAAATCATGTAACAATCTTGCAACACCTACACTCACCTGATGTTTCATAGTTCAGCAATTCAATATTGTTTATTTCCAAGAAAGTTTATAACATAAACATTATTAAGTGGCTTTTATTAATACATAGATAACTATTTGATTTAATTTTTAAGATGTACTGATTACCTACACATTTTTACTTTTCCTTTGTGTTACTGATTATAATAATAATTTGAAATGTTAAAAATTTAAATTAACTTTTTACTCAAATTTAACATGAAAATTCCTTAGAATTTCACTACTAAGAATTATGGGTTAGATGTCGAGGCAAGTTTTATTACAATAATTTGAATGATTTATTATGAAATTAACTTACTGTCTGGCCCTCTCTCAATAATATGAATCCTTCAATCAAATTGAAAATTTTAAATTAAATGTGATCAAATAAATAGCTTAACTGTGAAGTTAAAAAAAATAGTAGGCAACAAACATTTTGAGAAGAAATAGATTTACAAGAAAAAAATCGTATTCGTAATATCTTATTCTTGGAGAATTCTAAATTTACTTTTGGCTATTTTAAAACTAGATAGGTATGTCTACTGAACCCAATCTAAGTCATTTTCATCATTCACCTGGTTTCAATTATTTTCTTTTGAAAGACTTAACTTATCATCTGTGTTACAGTAGCTTGTCACTATACAAAGAAATATGCTATATTTTCTAATAAACTACTCTTTTTGATATACTTAAGTTCTGGTCATAAATAAAGGTTCGTTTAAGGATGCTTGTATTACCCATGCTCCATTGATTACCTTAATTAAAAATTAGATGATTTTAAAAGAAATTTTGTTTGAACATGACTGAAATGTATAATTTAATTTTAGTCTTGATTTAATGAGATACCTGATACTCGTCACTTAGAAAGTGAAATGAAATTAATACTTCAGACCAAGAAACAGACATTTAAAAAAAATGGAAACATTTCAAAATAATTTTTAATATAACTTTGTCATGAAAAATAAAAGCTATTAGATCTATATGTAAATGTATCCATAAATCAAAAGATTTGTAAAAAAAAAAAGGTTTATAAGGAAATGAATTACTCATAAAAATGTATTTGGGATTGTTTAAAATTAAAGAAAAAACCCCAGATAAAATGAAATAAAATTTTAAAAGGGTAGCTTTTGTTACCCGTGATTTTAACCATGATTTTGATTTTGATGAAAACCTCTTAATAAACTAGTTCTTAAATTAGTATCCCCAAGACTATGTATTTTTGTTAATTTTTTAATAAATATGTTAAAAAAATTAGCTAATGCTATCTCAAAGCCATAATTTAACACTATTTTAAAACATTATTTTGTTTTACTATATAGTATAGTACGTTCAAAAAGAAATTTGACGAAAATTTTAACGTGTGAACTGAAAAAAAGATTCGACCAAATTTTCGGTCGATCAAATTACCGTCGATCAATTTACCGTCGACGAAATTTCTTTCGATCAAATTTCCGGTAACCGTTAACTATGGATGGGACACTTTGTAATTTATCAAAAGAATCTTATAGTCTTAAAGTAATTTGAAATTTGAAATCAGTATGATTTACCAGCATGCTCCCTCTGAAGTCACACATCTAGTAGAACTAATAAGTTCCCGATTTGGTTAAGAGAACTCACTGAATGGCTGTTTGAAACAATTTAAATTTTTAAATGTCTTGTGTTCAAATTATTTTATTTATGTGCTGAAATTGTAAAATGCAATCATAAAACATTTCCATTTTTTTTTATAAATAAAAGAATCTTATCTTATCTTATATTTCAAGTAGTTTAAGTTTAGTGCCTCGTTCTGATATTTAAGGTGATTTAAATGTCTCATGTCTGATCTGTAAGATCGTTTGGAAAATTATAACCATTTATACTGATTTTTTCCCTCATTAATTTTGAACATTATTTTCATTATTCAATCTTTTTTAGTTATTTTAATTGTATTTTAGTTCAATAGAAAATAAAACTACAACAATGAGAGCATTGTAAAATAATAAATATAAGTCCTGCTTTAATAATGGGGCTGTATTCGAATGTTCGGAAAAAATATGTGTGGGACGTTCCTTACTTCGAGTTGTTGACAGATCGTTGATGAAACCGACCAGTCGGGATTAACTAACAACTTGCCAGAGCGTCTACAAGGTAAACGTCACTTCAAGTTGCCAATCATAAGATTAGAGATTAATCCTATAACACAATTTCTCCCAATCCTAAAGTACATCGTAATATGCACAGTTTTTGGGGATTAATAGCAAGAAATCAGATAACTACGCAGCTATCTTGCAACCTAAGAAAATTTTCGTAAATTATTTGTTGTTGTAATGTTAAACCTTTCAGCATTGGTTAACAGCAACCGGTTGATGTTGGTCATCGAATATAGCTATCGTAATAGAAAATTAAATAACTGTTCCTTCTTTATTAAATTAGCTGCAAAAAGTTATATATAGATTAGATTTTTTAAAAAAAGGTTCATACCTCGTTTTGCTAGTTCATTGAAAAAAATGGAACTGTTAGGCAATTAAAGAAATAATATTAAAATTGATGTATTATTTAATCAAATTAATTTATTATAATCGTGGCTAAAGAAAAAAGCTGTTGCAATCATTTACGATCTACATTCGATCTAAATAAAGGTTCTGCATCAAGAATATCTTGGGTCAGTCATTAGGGTAAACCAGATCGAGGTCAAGTGATTGATCATGAAGGCGCCCAAACCAAAGCGACGCTAGAGCAAGGTGACCACGGCGGCGGCATTTGGCGCCTTTACTCTCGTTATGTCCGACATGCGACCTACATTTGAAGATGTCAGTTCAATGACTGGAACGTGTTTCCTCATGACATGTGGTCATATCGATTATCGATGATTCTCAAAAATTTTTGGCAAACGAAAGATTCGTGTAAAAGCATCTGAGTTTTGATTAGTAGTTAGAAAAAAAAAATAGAATTAGAAGTCAAGTTTGGAATCTTGTGATTCTTACTAGCAAAAGTTAAAACTATTTTTTAGCAATTATTTGTATATAGAATATATTCTATCAGACCTACGTGCCATGACTGTTATACATTTGTTTTATTAAGGTAGTACTCCGAGAGTACTGTCTCCAATGAACACGGTAACTCAAGGCCCATAACTGTACACGTTGCTTCGTTACATCGTATGTTTGTCATTTCCCATGTGAGTCATTTTCTTGTTGGCGATTTTCTTGGTGGTCAATTTTCTTGTTGGCAATTTTTCTTGTTGGTCATTTTCTTGTTGGTAATTTTCTTGTTCGTCATTTTATCGTTGGTCATTGTCACCCTTGGTCATTTTCTTGTTGGTCCTTGTCACTGTCGTTCATGTTCTTGTTATTCATTTTCATGTTGGTCATTTTCTTGTATTTTTGGTCCCTTTTTAATGTTCATTGTAGAAGTTATTAGATCTTTTTCATGTTAACCATTATACAGCAAGCAACCGATGTTGCACGAGGCTCTAATAAATAAAAATTGTATAATTTTTTTCATGCTTGTTGGTTATTGTCTATGTAGGTCATTAATAAGACCGGGAAATTGTCAGGAAAAAAACAACAACGAAACGAAATCTTTACCAAATAATAATAATAATATTAAAATAATTAAACAAGTCTCTGTTTCAAGGAGACCTGTTTTAATGAGCTTCGTCAATAAATTCCATTAAAATGACAACAAAAAAATATAATAAATAAAAAATAAATAAAAAATTAAAATTATAATAAAATAAATAAAGACGAGCCATTTTCACTCCTTTACCAGTGATGCGGAGTGTACCGCGGAGCTGGCGTGTGACTGTGGGGGCTGTGGAAAAAGAGAATTGAAAAGATGTATAACATACAAGCTGTATATAACAAACGTATCAAAGGCGAAGCTTTTCATTTGTTGATATAGAGAACGGGCGCTTTAAGTGGCTCTAGGGTGGACTAAATGATACAGTAAAAGAAAGGGTTCGTCAGGCAATTGGGGAGTACGATGACCTACTGGTGACTGTGAAAAAACGCAAACTACAATGGTACGGCCACGTAACAAGGAAACAAGGGCTTGCCAAAGAAATATTGCAGGGCACCGCAAGAGGGGGGAGAAGAAGAGGAAGACAAAGAAAAAGATGGGAGGATAACATCAAAGCGTGGGCAGGACTAACACTGGACGATGCAGTGCGTAGCGCTGAAGACAGAGAGGAATGGAGGAGGATGGTTCACATGTCATCTGTGGCGCCCCAACGGTCCAAGGCTTATGGGACATGAGGATGAGGAGGAGGAGGGTGGACTATCCCGCACAGTGTAGTAGTTTTGTCAGGGGGAAAACCCGATACCATAATTTATCTAACCATGGCGCACTTCCTGTTTGTAAAAATAAAGAGGCACTATGTTGACAACAGACCAATGTCATGTCTATCAACCATAATTGAAATCGACATGTATTTGACATCGTGTTCCGTGGCATAGCGACTTACTACAAATATTTACGCCACAACGATGTCATTTACAAAGCCCCTTCTCCCATAAAATTTTTTTTGGGGGAATACACCCATGCCCTTAAAATAACCACATCACCCATATCCAAATCCTCTGAAAAAATTCTCTCAAATAAAAAAAATAATAATAAAAAAAATAAATAAATAAAAAGAGCATCTTCAAAGTTTTGGGGGAGATAATGTCCAGACATTAACTTTTTTTTTTTCCTGAGAAATATTTAGAAGAAAAGATAATCAAATTTAAATTATGATCGAACCGGTCACGTGACTTCGACGGCTTTCATTTACAGATAAAACAACACCCCCACCAATGTATGAAATAACAACAAACATGAAATCCGCGGCCTTTCAAAAATCACAAGTTTTTAAACAACCGTTGGGTAATGGCGGCTGAGCATGGCGTCGCTCGATGAGATCATCTTCAGGTCTGTCAGGATCCCGTGGGTGCTGGCGGGGAGCGACTCCCAGGACACGGTGATCGGTTCATACGCCACGATGGTCGACTGACGCCCGTGGGCGGCGTCCTTGTTGGCGCTGGTGACCTGGCGGTGCTCCTCGATCACGGCTTTTTTGTTGTCATCCTTCAGGATGCTGTGGATCTTTGGTCTCAGCAGCGATAAGGACTTGGCGAGCCGCGGGCGTGGCGGGAGGCTGGGAAGGGGGAGGGGGGGTGGAAATGAGGTTAGGTATTGAAGTAACTGGCCAGGTAAATGTAGAAAGGTGTAGTTAAAAAAAAAAAATAATTTAAAGAACATATTAAAAAAAAATGTCATTGTCGTTCCTAAAAAAAATAGTAATATAAGATTAAGATAAGATGCTTTCAGTGATATAAGAAATGGACTTCTGTTTTGATTCACATTTCACTTATTGTTATCAGTATTGAAAGTCTTGGTTTGAGATTTTGTTGTTTCTGAAAATTGGTATGTAGCGAAGAGTTAGGTGAATTATTCAATTTATATATATATATATATATATATATATATACATACATCGATTTAATGTTTTTGTTTCGTAAGGCTACATGGTGGAGTTTTTGTTCAACCCTCTATAACTAGACTTAATTTGTTTTTTTTTAGTCATACATTCAAATGTTAACATTTAAAAAAAAAAAATGATCACTAAGTAAGTCGTTAATTCCACTAAACGCGTAAACTGAATCCTGATTTCTAGGCTAGACAAATACTCTAGATGTTGTTATGGTTTGACCCTAATTGGTCTGGGTAAAAAACAACTTAAAGAAAAAAACCCTCTTAATACTAGGATGGAATATTGTTCCACCACACCCCTACTTTTTAAATTTTTTTGGTCATTACCTGGGAGTAATTTTACGTTAAAACTATAGGTAACCATTGTTGACTCCTAGCCAGCGGTGTTGACCCATCTACAGGTGGTGTTGACCTACCTAAAGATGACGTTGATCTACCTACTGATAACGTCTACCGACCTACAGGTAAAGTTGACCTACCTGCGAGCGGTGTTAACATACCTACAGATTGTGTTGACCTACCAGGAGATTATGAAAACCTTCCTACAGATTTGTTTAGACCTACCTACAGAGTGGGTCGACCCACCTGCAGATTGTGTAGACCTATCTAATGATTTTGTAGACCTACATACAGACGGTGTAGATCTACCTACAGATTGTGTAGTTCTACCTACAGAAGGCGTAGATCTACCTACAAATTGTGTAGACGTCCCTACAGACGGTTAAGACCTACTTACAGCTTGTAATGACCTACCTGCAGATTATGTAGTTTTACCTACAGACGGCACAGATCTACCTACAGATTGTGTGGTGTAGACCTACCTGCAGAGGGTGTAGATGACCAGTGCAGCAAACAGCAGCGTCACTATACCCACAAGACCAAACTGCCAGAAACACCCTTCAAATTCATTTTTTTCAAACGCTAGGTAAGGTGGCGGCACGTGCGGGACACTCCAGGTGTTCTCGGCCAGTCTGAGCACGGAGGAATTAATATTATGAGACCACACACACTTATAACATTGCACCACCCATCTATAACATCGCACCACACATCTATAACATTGAATCACACATCTATAACATGGCACTACACATCTTTAACATTGCACCACACATCTATAACATCGCACCACACATCTATAACATTGTACCACCCATCTATAACATGGCACTACACATCTCTAACATTGCACCACACATGTATAACATTTTATAACACATCTATAACAAGGTACCACACATCTATGACATTTTATAACATATCTGCAACGTGGTACCACAGATCTACAACATTTTATAACACATCTATAACTTGGTACCACACATCTATAACATTGCACCACACATCTATAACATTGCACCACACATCTATAACATGGTACCACACATCTATAGCATTGTACCACACATCTGTAACATGGCACTACACATCTATAGCAGTGCACCACACATGTATAAGATGCACCACACCTCTATAACATGGTACCACACATCTATAACATTTTATAACACATCTATAACATGGTACCACACGTCCATAACATTACACCACACATCTGTAACATGGTATTACACATCTATAACATTGTACAGTCCTTCTATAACATTTTATAACACATTTATAACATTGCACCACACATCTATAACATTGTACAGCCATTCTATAACATTTTATAACACATTTATAACATTGCACCACACATCTATAACATGGTACCACACGTCTATAACATTGTATCACACATCTGTAACATGGTATTACACATCTATAACATTGTACAACCCTTCTACAACATTTTATAGCACATCTATAACATTGCACCACACATCTATAACATTACACCACACATCTATAACATTCACACATCTATAACATTTGATCACACATCTATAGCGTCGAACCACCACACATCTAAAGTGGTTATAATAAACAATTGTTTGTCTGTTAATTTTTCTTTAGATTTTGAATATTTGTTCAATAAATTTTATTTTATATAAGTGCGTGGCAGCCGTAGGTTGAATTTAGCTCTGCAACAGGAGGGACATACAACAACCAAATGAACACGGCTAGAACCCAAAGTGATGTAATTTTAAATACGTAGAACAATGCCGTTAGCTCACTCGTTGCAGCACACCCTCGTCCTGGTCACATTATGCGTGCACGTGCAATTGGTGCAGACGGTGAGGGTCAAGTCTGCATAACACGGCAAGTTGAACACGGCAGCTGAACACATGTGGATAGAGAAAAATTGATACATTGAACACGGCAGCTGAGCACATGTGGATAGAGAAAAATTGATAAATTGAGCACAGCAGCTGAACACATGTGGATAGAGAAAAATGGATACATTGAACACGGCAGCTGAACACATGTGGATAGAGAAAAATAATTTCAAATTTTAGGCTTTAATTTAACGTTAGGTATAAATTATTCGTTTCTTTAACGTCCTTACAATGTTTATCAAATAATGTGTCATAGACTTATCAGGGTGCTGGCTGTCTCACTGAAACAATGCCAATCTTGAGTTCAAACCCCCCCCCCCCCCTCCCAAAAAAAAAGAAAAAGAAAAAAAAAAAAGACCAAGTCAGATAAAAACATCACTAGAACCTGGGTTGGATGTAACCCCTTAACCTTGTATGGCAGCTCACCTAAGAAANAAAAAAAAAAAAAAAAAAAAAAAACAAATTAAAAAAAAAAACAATTAAAACCTGGGTTGGATGTAACCCCTTAACCTTTGAAGGACACCCACCAAAAAAAAAAGTGAAAAAGAAAAAATAAAAAAAAAAAAAAAAAAAAAAAAATCCTAGATGACTCCCGTAGGCGGAAAAAATTACTACAATGAAAAATTTTGGCACCTCCTGTGACGCTACCGGACCAAACTGTATCATCCATATATGGTGTTCCCTTGGGGTTACCCAGGAGCGCGGAGAGATACGATTTGCTTCTTTAGGGAACCAGCTCATACGCCTAAAGACACAAATCCCAGGCCTGTGATTTCGTCCTGCGAAGTCTTACACCATCGTCACGTTGTGACGGACGGATGCCAGAACCAGTCTTATAAGAGTTGATCTCAATTTAATAAACATGATGATTTTTATAGAGATGAAAATCCATCAATCCATTTATTCATGGACTTCGGTAATTCGGGCTCCAGACATTCTCCATGGTTTCCATTGGAACTTCGAAATTTTCAAATTTCAGAGGCCATTATTCCAAGTAGAGATATTTGGTTTTCTTTTGTTTGTTTGCGCCATTTTTATTAAGAGATAGTACTTAAGAAACCTTCGCTCAAAGTACTTAAGAAATCTGTGTTTATATTACTTAAGAAACCCATGTTTATAGTCCTTAAGAAACCCGTGTTTAAAGTACTTGAGAAACCTGCGTTTATAGTACTTCAGAAATAGCCTTTTCCCACGCTACTGTAATATACATCAAGAAGCTCTAAATTGTTTTAATAAAACTTTAAAAAAAAAAAAAAAATTACTTAAAAAAATGGAAAGTTCAACAATGCAAATTCCTGAACAGTTAAGGTGACAACAGGAAAGGTAAAATTAAAAGAAAAAAAAAAAAAGAATGTTTATAGTCCTTAAGAAACCCGTGTTTAAAGTACTTGAGAAACCTGCGTTTATAGTACTTCAGAAATAGCCTTTTCCCACGCTACTGTAATATACATCAAGAAGATCTAAATTGTTTTAATAAAACTTTAAAAAAAAAAAAAAATTACTTAGAAAAGTGGACAGTTCAACTATGCAGATTCCTGAACAGTTCATGTGCCAACATGATAGGTAAATTTAAAAGAAAAAAAAAAATAGGCACACAGTTGACGGCGTGTACCTCATAGGTCAAAGGTGATATAATAGACAAGTGTATAAAACATATATGTGTAAACACTCAAGAAGATGCAGTCTTTGATTAATCAGTGGGAATAACCCCAGCTTCACATGAATCTCCCACCCAGCTCTCCTTCGTTTCATTTATTTTTTGTGCAAAATCAATTGAGTTTGAAGGTTTTGCCTTAAAAAGAAATAAATAATTTTTTAAAAATCACAAGGGGAATAATCATGTTATGAAATTAATCATAAGTGGTAGTGTTTGTTAAATCCCTTTTATCTTCCACTTTTGCACTTATAGAGTGGATGATAAAATGACCTGATCAGAGACTAACGCACATTTCTCTTCTCAGAGAAGGATTCTTGTTGCTACTTATAGAATTCAACAAAATAAAAGTTTAGCTTTTATCCCCATGATTATAACTCTAGATATTCAGGGCCTGATTAAGCAGCTATTTAAGGCCGGCGTCAAGGGTATATGAGAATCTCCGTTGTAAAGATGACCGCTGTTCGGTCCGTTAATTGTTTCCCGAGTTGTATTATGGTGGCGGCACATTCGCCGAATGACAAGAGACGCATGCCAAAACAAGTCAGTGTGTGAATATAAGAGTCGTGACCAAGAATTTTTTAAAATCTGGTTTTATGAGGACACATTTCAACCAATGGAATCTTTCGGCGAATACCCGGATACCGAGAATAAATATAAACAGTTGTCATTGTCAATTAATAAAGTGTTGCTGCGTCTAGTATTGATGTGCGTGACTCTCAGTGCCGAGTGCGGCGGTGTTAAGAAGCCCCCCTCCCCCCCTCCCCAGGTTAAAACAGTTTTCTGAAGGCCTCAACGAGAGAAACCAGAGTATTTTGACATCCGGATTAAACCATTGGGTTGACTACGCTACACCCTTGGACCCTCCTACAGGAGGGGCGCCTGTGAATAAAGTACAAGCTGACTAAATGTTAACACATTTGGAAGTGGGACACTGACTACTACATCTGGCCAATGCGCCGTTAGGAAACGAATCCAGAACATTGTCCAGATTAATTATATATAATTCAAAATAAAGAAGTTGAACTTACATCTCAGGAGATTATTTTGGCTCTTACCTCGTAAAGGTGCCATCCCGGGATCAGTTATAACGTCTAGAAGAGAATTTGTCACAAGACTGAATGGTTTATATGTGTAAAGAGTCTTTAGCTCAGAGGAAGTCTGTTAGAGCTTCCGGTTTTTTAAAAATTGACAATCATTTAAATTTGTGTTTTAAAAGGAAATTCCCGAAGCAGTGCGTTAAAAAGATGATTAGATTGATATCTTTTTAACCTAAAAACATTTTGCTTCATTGTTTATAAATTTTTTTTGGTCTTCTCTCTCTCTCTCTTTTTTTTTTCTCCATCAAATGATAATTTTAATTAAACTTTTTGTCCCGTCCCTGGTGCCAACTAAACTTAGAAACGCCACTGTTAATGAGGCAGACTTGACTGTGGCGCAGCGATGAGGTTACATTTAGGACAATAATGTAGGAGACGGTTTCGACTTGCCTACCTTTTGTATGGTCAGGGTATAAAAATAACAATGAAAAAAAAAAAATAATCATCCTGGTTGTTGTAAAAAATGCATTTATAATATTTTTTAAAAATATCCACGACAAAGATTGAAATAAATAATTAAAAGTGTTCTTTTGTTAGGCATTGCATTGTACAACTTCAAAACAAACACATTTTTTTTTTCTTTTTCTTTTTTTTTGCATTATCAGATTCCTTTGCACCATAATGCACCACTGATAGATAAACACGTGAAAGAGCCGAGAAAACACTTCTATATGGTCGTGGCGATGCCAAAACACCTTTCTAAAGGATCTGCTGTGCTGAAAACTTTCTTGAGCTATCGCATGAGTAGTTGGGTGAGTTTCTTGAACAATACCGATAAGGGGCTCGATAGATGGGATCGTCAGTGTCAGTCAGCTCTGTTTTTACCGGACATTGGCGCCATTAGCATTTCCCATTTTTTTTTTTAAAATATTTTTTTTTTGGTAATACTAGTTATACCCCGAAAACAATGGCAGCGCAATGCGTGAAATTCCAAGCTACTAAAGTCACATGACAAAACATGCAATCAAGTAACAAGCTTTATAAGATCCCCCCAATTAGTGCTCTCTCCACAAACCCCCCCCCCCGGGATATACTCACGTACATTTTTTCAACGCCCTAAACCATAGTAATATTATCATGTAACACTCCCTTTTATACACCAAGCTACTAAAGTCACATGACAAAACATGCAATCAAGTAACAACCTTTATAAGATCCCCCCAATTAGTTCTCTCTCCCCAAACCCCCCCCCCAGGGATATACTCACGTACATTTTTTCAACGCCCTAAACCATAGTAATATTATCATGTCACACTCCCTTTTATACCGCAGATGTGTTCCACGACTAGCTAGAGCCCATTAAAAAAAATTAACGGCCTCAACTTTCGATCTTTGTGGACCCTTAATATATAGAAAAAGAAACATGCACTCAAGTAAAGCACTTTATAAGATTCCCAATTAATGCTTCCCCCCCGAACCCCCTCCCTCGGTGCGGTAACGCCCCTGACCAATATTAATATTCTAATGTCCCAGCTTCCTTTTACACCGAATATTTATTACACCGATTATTTCCGTAAAGCAAAAATAAAATGTTGTACAGCAAATGCGTTTGTGGTATTTTTAAGAATCCTACCCAGCACAGTCATCGGGAATTATTGTTTTTATTTCTTTGAACTCGACATTATACAATGCACATAACTAAAGAATTATTATATTTCTGTACTACTTAACAAGTACTTAAGTAGCAGTGTTACATCTTTCTGTATAATTATGTGTTTTTTTAAAAAAAAAGTAAACCCTTTCTTTACTTTTTTTATTTGACTGTTTATACTTTTTGGTCCATCCGAGTCACCTGTCACACCCACCTGTCGTAACCACCTGTCACAGCCACCTGTCGCAACCACCGGTCACAAGCGCCTGTCATTACCACCTGTCACAACCACCTCTCACAACCACCTCTCACAATCACCTGGCACAACCACCTGGTACAACCCCCTGTCACAACCTCCTGTCACAACCGCCTGTCGCAGCCGTTTCTACTGTAACTACCTGCCCATCTTCTTGACCCCATAAATATCCGTACCATCTTCTTATCCGCGGTATCTATGTCATTTTCTGACCACCCCAAGCTTGCTCGCTTGACCGTTCTCATGTACCTGCTTCTTTAAATACCCCCCCCCCCAACTCCCTCATATATATGTTCTCAAGCAATCAGTCTAAGTGAGCTTTCTGTTTGTCATAGCTTCACGTCCCCGCTAAGTACATGCTCAAAGCTACCCTTTTAAATAAAATACTTTTTTTAGTGACTTGATGATGATGATGACTGAATACTTTTGTAGCGCTTGTGGCCATGCTATTTTAGCATGCTCACGGCGCTCTGATGTCCTAAAATCATGTTGCTCATGCCCAACTGCCCCTGTCACAACCACTTGTCCCCAATTGCCTGCCACAACCACTTGTATCTAATCGCCTATCACAACGAACTGTCCCCAATCGCCTGTCACAACCAACTGTCCCCAATCGCCAGTCACAACAAACTGTCCCCAATCGCCTGTCACAACCAACAGTCCCCAATCGCCTGTCACAACCACCTGTCCCCAATCGCCTGTCACAACCCCCTGTCCCCACTCGCCTGTCCCAACCACCTGTCCCAACCCCCCGTCACAACCACCCGCCCCCAACCACCTGTCCCAACCACCTGTCCCCAACACCAATCGCCTGTCACAACCACCTGTCCCCAATCGCCTGTCACAACCAACTGTCCCCAATCGCCTGTCACAACCACCTGTCCCCAATCGCCTGTCACAACCAACTGTCCCCAATCGCCTGTCACAACCAACTGTCCCAATCGCCTGTCACAACCACCTGTCCCCAATCGCCTGTCACAACCACCTGTCCCCAACAAACTGTCACAACCACCTGTTCCCAATCGCCTGTCACAACCACCTGTCCCCAATCGCCTGTCACAACCACCTGCCACAACCACCTGTTCCTAATTGCCTGTCACAACCAACTGTCCCCAACAAACTGTCCCCAACAAACTGCACAACCACCTGTCACAACCACCTGTTCCGCATGTCTGTACGGCAGTATTTTTTCCCAGTTGTAATGGGTGATGATGGCGACTGGACGTGGTGTACGATTGTCCTCATTGTAATCCTGGTGTTGTTGCTAATGGTCGCACTTGTGGGCGGAGCCTGCGCGTTCGCCTTACATATAAGGTAAAACTGACCAGTCGAGTCTTGGCCGTGTTTCCTTGGTGACCGTTTAGTTCGGGGCATTACGTCATTGTTAAGACCGTTGAACGTCACCCCCAACAGATTTGGGTCATCTCACGTTGTGATGAAACCGTCTTAAAAATAAAACAAAGATTTAACACGTAAAATCAAATGAGCACGTGATATTATTTACGATAGGAGTGAATGCAATAATTCCATTAATGTGCCGAATTATAAACAAAAATTAAAATGTTCGGGTCTTTAGCAGCACATTTTAAATATCTGAAAAAGGATGAGAATTGTTAAGGATAAAAACACCACAGGTTTTCCTATCCTTAAAGTCTGTTTTCATACTTGATACGATAGCGAGACCTAAAATTGAGACTGAATACTGGGAGTGAATTGAACAGAGCCAAGAAACATGGTCACGGCTTGTCTCACCTAATATACAATAACATCCCAAAAATCCTTAACATTTTTTGCATTTCAGTGTGGTCCGCACTGTCCCTCCCAACTGCACCACGCCGACCGGTGAATGAGAAAGAATTCAAGAATGGGACGTCTACCAGAAGTTGAAAAATAAGAACACATTAGCTTTTCTTCGCCTGTAACTTCAGCCGATACTAGGGTGCCAAATAATATGTGTATGGTTTAATTTGGTGGTGACATTTCAACAGGCCAACTAGCCAATGTCCCTGGGGCTTGCGGAAGACTAGACTGAATCTGAATTTTTTAATGAAAATTCAAATAACCCTTGCGGATAGCTCTTTGTCCTTAGGATCTTCTCCACGTGACCTCCGACGTGCATTCATAAACTAAGGCACCAGATTGGGATTTGTAGCATGGGGATGTCGCAGGCACAAGTGCACGCCTAGCGCTGTTTAATGATTCAGTAATGCTGCGGTAGTGAACAAGCGGCCGTGATCAAATACACGACGACGCGGAGACGTAGTGGGGGATTGTATTGACGTTCTGCATCATCCCGTAACACTATACCATTAAAGTTGATGTGATGCGCTGTTAGGATATTATAAGACTGGATAAGTAATCTCATCGGTAATCTCGTCGACCGTTGCATCTTTAATCTCATCACTATCCTCACGTGCCATGTCCAGAAGCAAGCTAGCCATCAGCAGTATGCAGATTTAGAGTTCCAAAAAAAAAAAAAAACAGCTGAGAAACAGAAGACCGCTACCAACAACCAATTTGGTCCCTTCCCGTGGAGCTGAGATGTGTTAGCAAGGCTGAGTCTTACCAGGAATAAAATTCGTGTGAAAAAGCTGTTAAGCTATATTTTTGTCTGAAGTTTGCCGGACACATTCACCAAGAAAAAAATGTGGACATGGTGTACTATAATGTTGCTGGCCATCCTGATCATGGCCATCGTCATAGTTATCATTGTGGTCACGTGCGTCTGCGCCTTGAGTCTGAAAAAGTAAGGAGACCTCGGCGGGCTTACGATGCACATATCTCTTGTTCGGCATTGATAGTATTGTTATTTATATTATGATTTATTTACGTTATTGATTATTTATATTTTTTTTATTTTTGCGTTAATATTTATGAAGCTCACAACAATCCTCAGAAACAAATCTTAACTGCACTACCCCCCCAAACCACCATTTCCCCTTTTTTCCTCTTTTAAATTATAAACGTCATTGTATTGAAAAACAACAACAACAACACATTCTTCATCAACTAACCATAAGTAGTTAAGAAGCCGGTGTTAAGGACCCAGTGCGACGAGGTGGTAGAATTTTTGATAACGCTTTCCATTATACGTCTTGTAGAAAGCAACCCTGACAGAACGGTTTAAACCTGCTGAATTCAAGAGCCGTCTGTAAAGGGGCCGTCACCCCTGGGGCTACTTGCTTGATATTACGTC